GCTTGCTCTGAAATTACAGGTTGTGCATTCCTTCTTTTAATAGTAAAATAATTGCCTATCGTCCCTTCACTTCCTTGGATTACTTTCTCGCTTCGCTCACCTCTCTGTCCTCGTCCTCAATGGCTCCTCATTTTGCTCTTCTTCCTCTTTCCACATCCCCCCACCGCTGTCACATCTTAAGTTTATACCAATTAACTTGCCTTGCGGAAGCATTTGATATCACTTTTGAAGACTACAAGTTATGAAAAATTAAGTTTGAAAATTTTCTTTTTCGGATTACTATTCATTGTAACCCTAAAATATAGCAAATTTTGAAAATTCATAACTAATTATAGAAAAATTGAAATCGAGAGATTCCAAGTTTTATGGAAAGCTCTTTGGATAAAATTTTGAGAAAAAATAGTTTCTGGACTGATTGCCTTGAAATTTCGAACCCAGTTTTCTCTGAAAGATTTACTGTTCATTTGGTCATTTTTTGATTTTTACCTTATCTTTGCCTAATTTTAGGAACGCATAACTTTTTGCTCGGTTATTGGAATCAGGCAAACTACCTCTCATTTTAAAGAGAAAAATCAGATATATTTGCTCACCAAATTTCATAACCTAACTCACTCATTTACTCAAATGGTTATTGGTCAAACTTTGGTCCATTGTAGTTGACTTTTTACCCCCATTGAAAGGGTAATTTAACTTTAATTGACCATTTACCATCATAACATACTCTCATTAACTATACTAACTATTTCTAACATGCTTAGACTATTTTAATCATGCTTGTATACTTCTAACCTCAATCATACTATTAGAAACTTAAAGCATGCTTATCATTACATTCTTCCAAAATAGAAATGTTCAAAGTCATATAAAGTTACTATGGCTTACTACCTTTTCAAGGAAGAGCCAACTCCCTTCCTTTGCCATTAGATGTTGAAGGCCCTAGGGTTTGTTTAAATATTAGGATAAGATTCTTGGGAAATCTTAGTAGCAATTGCATACATTATCAAGGTCACACAATACATTGTAAATCAAGCTACATGCATGCATATGATAACTTTATGTTCATGCTATGGCAATGACATATTATCATAAACATTCATAGCACTCAACATAGCATAAGCCAATAAATTGCATGGAGGCGACATCATATAACATAACACTCTCATCCACCTCATAGCATAACAAGTTAGCAAAACACATAGCCATAATCATACAAAGTAAAGTGACACTCTAATATAATAGATTGCAAAGCTACCTTGAATACTTTCCTTCCTCTTGAATTCTTTCCTCTTGACTAGATCTTTGCTCCTTTGTTGTATATAGCCTATTAGGCAACTAATGATACAACATTAAGCATTATTACAACTCTATAACTTAACATAACCCCTTAAACCCCTTTTTCCTTGATTTTTAGGGTTTATTTTTCTAGCTTTAATTCTTGAACTTTCTTGGGCCTTTCCTACATAATTTTTCATGTAGAATCCATTTATCATATTAGTTTTATGAAAATCCAATCCCTTCCTGAACTTGACTTGGCCGAACACTATGCATTTAGGGTTTCAAAATTCTCATTTCAATTTTAATGCTTCCAACCTTACTTTCTTGGTACATACCTACACTAAATCATCATTTAAACTTATTGAAAGCATCAAATTGAATTGAAACAACTTCCCTAATGCATTTCTCAATTTGGCCAAACACTATATATAATCATAGGGAAAAGGATTTTTAACAAAACTAACATGTAATCACTTAATCCTTAACCTTTAACCATACCTAATCTTAATCATACATAACCTAAACCCTTCCTATCCATTTTGATGAAATTTGGGCAGCACCTCGTCTTAGGAAAATAACTTTCCATCATTGTCAAAATAACATAAAACCAACATAACTTGAAATAGAAGAGTTGTAGAAGCTTACATTGCTTCCAAGTGATTTTCTCTCACTAAAACTCTCTTCTTTCTCTCTCTAAATAAAATTTTGCAAGAGTTTCCCTACTTGAATGGCCTTGCATGAAATGAACATGTGGGGGGCGGTATTTATAGGCTTCATATTTCTATTAATTCCACACATGCTCTTCTTGCATAAGACTTGATCTTAGCCTTCCAATTTTTACCTCTTTCCAAATGTACAAATCTTAAGCTACATGGCTTAATATGTTGACACTTGGATGGTGAGTCATTAGGGCTTATATCATCTCTTCTTATCTATTAAGATTAATTAGGCTTTAATTAAGGTTAACTCTCTTAATTCCTTGATTAACTTGGCTAATTACCCTTCTAGAAGCTTTTGACTTTTCAAAGATAGATGGTTGAATCCTAGCTATTTAATGAACCATGTTTTCCATGTGTCAAGATCTTATGGAAGATTACTTAACCATAATCATCTTACTTAATCCTAATTAGATTTTAATCTAACTTGATTATTATTTTCTTTTTTTCCTTCTTAGCCAATTTGGGCATGACATGTGTCCTTGACATTCTGTCAGAAATTTTACCACTCCGATTGTCCTGACCGTCCATTGAGTTTTAATATAATATTGGTTTATTTTATCTTATAGCCGAAAAATTCTAGTATCTCAGAATTCTTATATCAGATCATCATTAATTATATCTCAATAAAAGGAACTTTTCTGATTAATTTTATAATTTTTATCCCCCTATAACTCTTTAAATTGCCGTTTCCGTAAAAACAGACAATCTAGTGATATTAATTTAGCGTTAAATTCAATTAAAGCTAATATCCTCATCATTTAGGGCTAAAAATAATTTTATAAATCTTCATAATTCCTAAATGAGTTTTATTTAATTTTTCATAATTTTTTGAGATCTCTAGGTATTTTTAATAATTGATATTGGTCACTTTTCCCTAATTTAGCCAAAATATTAATAATTAAAAATAATTTTTTAATAAATTATTTTCAACCTGTATTTACTTCCTAGACTTCAAATTCCGTTCTACGGCATTAATTTTATTTTCCATGGTTTACTAGAAATTTTTAGAATTTTCAGACACTAATTACGATAATGCCTTTTATAGACCAATCATTTTAAAAATGACAATTTAGTTCTTTTTTAGTTTTCACTTCAATTGTTGTGCTATTTATCTATCTTTTATCTCACCTAACCTTGGTCAACCCTAATTCCTTCATTAATCATGTTAAAGATATCAGGGTGTGACATATTTTTCTATTTCTAGGTTAGAAATTTTGGGATGTTACAACTGCCACCTCTATCCTTCTTATTTCAACGTTCCCACCACCTCCTCAAACCTCAACACCCGAGATATCTTCTTCATTCTCTACTCTTTTTCTCCCCCAGTTATCTTTTCCCTCCTCAATTACTGCCTCTCTCTTTTGTAGGATTCTCTGGATTTTCGATCATCACCTCTTGCTCTTCTAATGGCAGAAATGCAAATGGCCTCAAGAGTGACAATCGCCTTTGTGAACAACATGAAGACTAAAATTATTAAACCAGACAACCTATCTAACCGGCAGGTTGGTTGGTCTTTACCAGTTGAATTGGTTTTTTTCCGGTTTGATCATAGGTCGGTTTTTTTCCTTTAACCAGACCGGACCAAAGACCGGTTCATCGGTTTTTCGGTTGAACAGGCTGGTCTGGTCTGATTTTTTTTTTCATTGGGATTATTCAAGAAGTGCTTTTAAAAAGTATTTTTTTATAAATTGGGACAAATTTTTTTTTTTACATATTTACTTCGTATACCACAAAAGTACTTTTAAAGCTATGGTTTTATTTCTACCCATACACCCCCCAAATCACTTCTATTTAAAACTTTTTATTTTTAACTTTATACTTTTACTTTTTTAACAGAAAAAATGACAAAAAAGAAGTTAAAAATTACTAAGTATCAAAGAAAGAATATTAACAAAAATTTGTTATGATTTGCAAATTCAGTATTGTTAATATCAAATAAAGTGGTGTTGTCAAACCTGATTTAGGATTTAGTAATTTTCAATTTTTTTTGTCATTTTCCCTTTTTTCAGCATATAATGTACTGTTTTTTTTGCTAAATATCATATATATTATTCTACCCATGGCTTATACTTTTCACTTTCCATTTCTTTAACCCATTAAATTAAGCGCTGGCCAAAAAAAAAACCCACTAGCTTGAGCATTTTTTTTATTTGAATAATAGCAACTCACTTTTTTTTTCAAGTTTATAAGAACACATTATTAAATTCAACATTAATAATTTTTCTTGGTCTAAGATTAATTTTTAAAGTACCGGAAAAAAAAAAGTACCTGAAAACTAATCATTTGTCAGTTTTCCTTAATTATATTTAAAAAATAATTAGTTATAAATATAATTCAAATACAAAATGGCGGGCTATAAAATTCAGAGGAGGGTTTGAAATCGATTTCGGTCATTTTCTTCTCTTATTTCTGTGGTTTGCCTCTGCTACCCTGCAGCTCGAAACGTTTCCCGATTCCGGTTTGGCGTTCTCCATGAAACCCATTTTGGTTTAGACCTTCAATTTCGCCATCCTTCTTTGTTCATTCTTCTTCTCTTCACTGTCAATAGAACAGCTCTGCAACTTTTTTCCCAAGAGAACAAGGGAGGGCTACATGAAAATGGGGCGAAACTACACCTGTTGCGGCGTTTAGTAGCTAGTGCACGCAAATGGCTGAATCAGTGCTAAAGAAAATGGAGTCTGGGCGCTTGATCTGCGATGCAGAGATTCCGGTTCTACAGCACAAGATTGACGTCTTTTCTTCTTCTTTTATGAAATCCCTTGAATCATTAAGGGCAAGATCACAAGAAACTGCTCAGTATCAAGGCGAGGTTTCCCCACTAGTTTACTTCCAAATTGAACTGCTCCTCTGAACAGAATTTCCTACTGATATTGGGTTATGGTTATAATAAATTAGGGCTCTGAGCCTTTACATGTTTTCCATGATACAATCTTTTGTCGGGTAACTATGCTTTTATAACTATCGCTTATAATACGGATTGTAGATTTTGATTTATTCTATGTCTTTCCAGCTAAATTAGAAGACGCCAAAGCTAAATTGAGGGAGGCAGAGGATGACTTGGTTAAAGCCCTGGGAGGTAAATATTTACTCTCATCTTGTCCCTTTATAGTTGTGGACTTGAATTTGAATTTCTCTGAACCAGACTGCATAATTTCATCGTCGCAAGTATCTGAACATGATAGCTTTTAGTGACTAAGCGTTGGCTTATTACTTATTGCAACTCTTAATTGCATGTTCACGCAGTGAAGACTCGCAAAGAGGCCAAGCGTATGGCTCTGATGGATGCTATTGATTCTGCAAAGACTAGAGTTGAAGATCTTAAGAGTAGTGTTCAGGAGCAAAGAACCAAGAATTGTGAATATGCTGCAATATTATCTGAGCATTCTCCTGGTAATGATCTGTTTGTGAATTTAGGCACTGCATACGCTTCATGGCAATCTTCTAAGCCTTTCTAGGCTTCCGGCTGGCTGTTGACTTGTTGACATTATCTTTATTCTGTTCCAATCTGTTTTTGTATGCACTCTTGTATCTGTTTGACGCACATTTTTATAGTTGTGGTCCTGTGGAAGAGGAAAGGTGATTAGCATTGCCTCTATCAGTTTGCTAGCACTTAAATAAAAGATTGTTTTTGATATTTCCGTTAGAATAAGACATAAATGCTGAAGATTCCATTCTCATTTGTTAGGATACTTTTCATGATGATGCTTGAATCTGCGCGCCGGCGCCCATTATATTTTGGGTTTGATGAAGCTTTCATATATATTTAGTTATATCGTTACGACTATCGTACCCATTGGAGCAATTGGAGAACCAGATCAGCTCTTGGTAAACGGGGATCCAATTGCCCAGTTTTAATAAGTCTAGCGACATTAAGAAGCTCACTATCTTGTGTGAGCTGTTTAATCACATTTATTTGAAAATTTTGTTCGAAACTAAAATTGTTGTTAAACAGCAAATTTGGCACAGTACTCAGTATTCCGCACGAAACGGACAGATCTATAAAGAGAAGGATCATGTGGTCCTATCAGTTGATTTGAGATCCCAATATTTAGCTTTATAAATAAGTACCTCCAAATTTTATGTGACATGGTTGATGACAAACCTTTGGGAGTATGTCTTACAGTACCTTTTTTCACTTATCCCTGGCTTCGACTAGGAAACATTTTGTGATTCTGGTAGTGTCACCCACTTCCTTTTCCCTTTCTCAATTTTGCATTATATTAATTGGATGTTCATGCTTTCTGAGAAACACTTGTATATTCTAAACCCTTGGCAGATTCTGAAGGGACAATGAATGGAAGCACTGAACGAAAAGATGAAATTCTGGAGGCCATCTCATGGTACAATACAGTCCTTGGATTCCATGTTGAAGGCGGACATGGTAATTGATGTTGTTCATATTGTCCAATTTTATTCTTCTTCATTCTTCGATGTCTTAACAAGTTCTTCTGCACATCAGGGGTGAAGTTTACCTTCAAGAGTATCAATGTGAACAATCCCAATGAGGAGTGTTTTTTTACCATCCGTCATGAAAATGATACTTACACGTGTAAGCAGCAATTTTGGTTTTGTTTATAATCTCAAAACAATGTAATGATATGCTTCGTGAATCTGAATTCGTTTCTTTTCTTTCAGTATTGAACTGTGAACCCCCCGTCAAAGGAACCAAAGAGTTGATTCATGAATTAAACAAGACAAATGGGCTATTTAAATATGTCAGAGTTATGAGGAGGAAGTTTCAAGAAGCAGTTGCACAGGGTATGACTTGTGGCTTTATATATGAACATCATCATAGATGCATAAAATGGGGATGCTAAGTGTCCTGGAGCCTTAGTTCTATCTTACGCGTCTATACCTTTGACTTCTGGCGTCCTGAAATTTTGCTTTGTAGTGGAAATTGGCATGATATGCTTGTTGAAATGGAAATTTCTAATTTTTTTTTTTAACCAGAGAAGTTTTTAATTATTTCTTATATACAATGTACTGTTGTTGAAGTCATTAGCTTATCTTGTATCAGCAGATGTCGATTTATCTTTCACATAAATTTCTAATAAGTTAACTAACAGGGAGTGTAGCATCCTTAAATAGTGAACATCAAGAGTCTGCTATCATCTCTACATCTGCTCCAGATCTATCTATATCATCCTTCAGGAGTGATTCCCCGACCAAGAAAAATGAGAATCAAGTTCAACCTATGAAAGGTGAGAGACCTACCAAGAAACAAACCCTCGGAAGACGGGTAACATCTGCTGCATTGTCTCCTGGATCTGCCTCATCAGTTCGCCAGTCTCCTCGTTTGAGGGTATGAATCTAATTGGTAACTTGTGCTTCTTGGATTTAACTCTGTCAACACTATCTGTTGTTATTGCAAAGTTGGAATTCTCCTTAGAAGAAGTTATTATCATGTTATGATCATGAGGTTAGTTTATAATATTTTTACCTTTTCCTTGACAAGGACACTATTATACAAATTTAAGGGTAGATAAACATTGATCATTGTTAGAGATAGTGCTTCAATGTGCTTTTGCTTTCTTTAACGTTTGAGCCTAAGATGAGGTCCTATGAATGGATGTGGCAACATGATTTTTCAGGCTTTAACAACTGACAAGCTTCTAGCAGAATAAGTTTAGAGCTGCTATCAGACCATATGTCTTTGATATAGGGACTATAGATATTAGAACCTGGAACTGGAAGTTGGTGGGAGCGATTTGTTTCCCTAACATCATGCAACAGTAATCAATATAATGACTGAAGACCTAGAGGTTTGAAATTTGAATCCTTGAGCTTGTCATTTTGCCTCAAATTTATCTTACTGTTGACGAAAGACATTCTGATGAACCTCTACCTTGATCAGCTTAGCTTTTCCTCCTTTCAATTTAGGTTAGACGCTCCATCACCTAAATTGTGCGACCTGGTTCTTTGTTCTCTCCTGACCAGATAGCCAACATTCCATGAGTGGTTGTGCTCTGTGAATGCTGAAACAATCGTGATAGTTTTCTCGCAAGATCAATTGATGCTAAGATCTTTTATATGGCAGGCTAGGAAATAAAGTCAAGTGCAGGCTGTTTGGCTACCCCTACATTGTTGGATGAGAAACGCTGAGTCTTGTAGGGCTCATGCAGTCATAACTCATGACTCAGGCTGCTAAACAAGTTGACATGTGATTGAAGACACAGGCATTGTAGATGGCTGAACCCATATCTAAGATATACTAAGGGCTTCGCAAAATGTGTATTGTAACTTGATATCGTATGAGGACATAACCTTTTTCTGTGTGTGGCCCTTCTGTATTTTTCCATCTATTTTTTATTCTCATTTCTTATTTGGTTTTTTTAACAGCTCTTCAGTTAATCATGCTTTTGTTTGACGATGTAAATAGAGCAGTGGATATAAAATAGATCTTCATCACCCCCCACCCTGGGGTTTTAATCTAAATTTGGATATCACCAAAATGCACAAGACATCTTTACACTACCTCCAATTCTAAATATAAAACTTAATTAATTTGGGGAGATTAAGGAAGTTAAATAAATTATTAGAGTATTTATATTTACTGTTTTTTTTAAAAGATTAATTTGCCTAACGTAGAAATTGATATATAATTTTATGATGCATATAAGTATTGTAAAGAGATTATGTAACATATGTTGTAATTAAATAATATATTTAACTTTTCAGCAGCGCTATTAGGAATGTAACCTAATTTCATGAACATGCGTTTCCAAGTTTCATTTTTATCTTGAATTAGGTTCCCACAAGTGACTTTGCTTCTCTAGTTAACTGACGTATCCATGCCAAGTCTAACCCATCCTAATTCTGAAAGCTTCCAATTAAATTAAATATTTTGATAACTTCATATATGCTAAAAAATGTTGTCTTTATTTACTCGTAATCTTATCCAGCAAATATCTCGCGCTTACACATTTTTTCAGGTATGCTTTGGGAGTGAAAATGTCTTCATCCCCAAATAATCCTATTATTACTTGAGTATCTTTCAGATTATTGGCGTCTGAATTAGTACACTTGAATTAATTAACTTATGCCGACGTTTTAATCCAAAAGGGAAATTCCCCTACCTATGAATTTGGCCAGAAAAAATTGCAAGGAGAAATGGGAGTGAGAGTACATTTAACTCTGTATGCAGTTTTATTTGAGAAAGTAATTCAATACTGTGAAGCTACACCTGGAATTGCCTTCATTATAACATGCCTGGAGGTTTGACTAGTAATGTAATAGTCCTATAGCGGTAAGTAGACAGTGTTTATATTTTTATGTATATACACAAGGGTGGGTGTTTGAAGAAATTAAAGGCATTCAAGAAGAAGCCTGACGCAGTCTTTTATGAAGCAAAGCTCGAGTGTTGTTCCATAGTTTCTGGGCTTCAAATTCGTCGTTTGCCAGACTTGAGCAGGTACTCTCATTACAATCTGCGAAGTATTTCCCACTCAATCCTTGTGTTTGTGCACTCACTGCAACGTAACACGTTGTTGCTGCGCCCTGTCCATTTCATATATAGAATTATAGATTATTGTTAACCTCTTTGAAAACAAACACATAACTTAACTTGAGACTTAGGACTTGTTTGATTAATGATAAGGATACTTGTTGACAAACCTGGGATGTTGTTTTGAGCAACTTGGATGCAATGAAGAACAGGGAATCTGCATGTAAGTTTTAAGAATATTTAGTGATGAGGTGAAATGATTAGATATTTTCAATTTCAGATTGTATTTAAGAATACCAAAATGGATTGAAGGATAGTTATGTTGTTACCTGTTATTAGGCCTTTATGAGCTCTGATAATTCCTGTCTTCACAATCCCCGGATGAACTGCATTCACTGTTACTTTTGCATTCCTTGCCTGACATCAGGGAAAGATAAACATTGGTACAATGTTGTCACTGGTACATTTATTTCTAACCTTAAGAATGTTTCTTGGTGTTTATTTCTGACCTTAAGCTGTCTGGCCAATTCCTTGGCATGCAAAATATTGGCCAACTTTGATTGAGAATATGCGCGTGTGCCATTATATCTGCAATCAGATGGAAGATTAAGGGGTGATTAGTATCACTCGTAATGTTGAAGCACTTAGGATTAAACACACAGCTAAGAATGTTTTTAAGAGAGGAAGCAATTAATTAAGAAGCTAGCAGTCGTACTTTGTTCCATTGAGCATGTCGTGGAAACGAAAGGCTTCTCTCTTCACCCAGTTATGGATGACAGAGGACACATTTATGATCCTTCCTTCAATCCCACTCTTCTCTGCTGTTTCTATCATTTTCTCTAGCAGCATTTCTGTCAACAAAAAATGTCCTGCATTCACAAATCATTCCCAAATATCATCAACAAACACATTGAAGATTTTTTTAAATTGTTTGGTTTCTTTTTGGTTATACTACCCCCAATCTTAATTATAAGCCTCGTTTATAGTCTATAAACGAGATCTTATAATTAGGACCGGAGGTAGTATATAGATATATTATTATTTTTTATTCTCTCCCAGACTTGGACTACGAGGAAAAATGACATGTCAAAGCATCTTCTACAAAAGCTTTGCACTTTGGAAACAGACTTCAGAAGCTTTAACCTTGCAGCTCATAAAGATCATAACGCATGCATGCCTGGGGGACCATAACGATAGTGGATGTAGAGTCAAGCCAATTGACACAATTGAATCAAATATCATGTATATTATTACCAAATATCAATTATAAATATTCTAAATATTAGGACGGAATAGACTTATTCCAACTGAAAATTTTTATAATTCATTGTGCTTAAATTCCAAAGAATAAATTAAAATTTGATGGAATTATTCCAACAAAAAAATACAAAATTTGGCGAAATTATAAGGAGTTAAAGAATAATTTAAGTGAATGAATATATCTATAGGAAGGCAAGAACTTGAAAATTACCCAAGTAATTGGTGGCAAATGTCATCTCAATTTTCTCTTCGGAGAACTCCAAGTTCTGAGAGAATATTCCAGCATTGTTTCTGTCAAAAAATATTCCCTGTTTCAGAACGATTATTATAATACAATAACAAGGTGGTTTGATATATATGAGCGAACCACAAACTTACATGAGGATATTGAGGGGAAGTTGTAGAGCCAAAAACTCAGAACAAAATCTCTGTACAGAAGCGAAAGAACTGAGATCGACTTCCAACACTATAATCTCAGCGTTTGGAGTTTCTTTCTGGATATTCTGTCTCACTTCTCTCGCCTTCTTCAAGTCCCTCGCACCGATCACTAATCTCACTCCTCTCTTAGCCAAAACTCTTGCCGTTTCAGCTCCGATCCCAGAAGTCCCACCTTCATTTTCATTCACACATCACAATTCACCCATTAATTCCTTAAACAAGACCTAATCCAACACTAACATCTTCTGCAGATTCTGTCAATCATTAAAAGAAACAAAAGAAAAGGAGAAAGATCGACGAAATGATGAGTCTTTGTTTTTTAATGGTGTGTATTGCAGATGGGGGTGATATGACCTCAAGTGTGAACCGATATGGAAGAAAAAAGAATTGTACAGAAGGAGACAGAATCATGTCTTGTTGCTGCTATAAAGAAAATCACCATCCTTCTTTATGGTACACTCACGGGTGCCACTGCCAGGCTAACTCCCACTTTCCTCAATCCCACCCAAAAAAAAAAAAAAAAAAGGGACAGTAACCATAATAAACAAATCTTAGCTTCATGCATAATTCCTCAGCTAGCTAGTTAATAAGTCTCATTTTACACAAACACGAAACAAGACATGACTCGTATGGTTTTGTGCGTGTCGCTGGATAACACACATAGAAACAAAACAAAATATAAGTGTAGTGTCTCATCAATATTATTATATTCTAGTAGTTCTGAAGTGTCGGTATTTTACGGTTTTCTGAAAATGAACCGGGGAAACCAGATCTGTCAAATCAAATCTAAAAGGAGGGGAACAACAGAGCTGCAACTGAAATGAAGATGGCTGGAAGTGATATAACAACATAATCTGGCATTTATAAATCTCCTGAATCAACTCATGCACGCACTCATCATTTAACCGGAGCCTTGAAGAATAATAAGAAGGGAAAAGAAAACAAGGAAGAAGAAAACCAATCAAACCAACCACACATGGTCCTTATAGATAAATATATATATATATATATATATATTCACCTCAGAAGAAACATCTGTTCGTGAGATGATGAGAAGAAAGTGTTCTTCTTAGGCTTACCTGTGATGAGAGCAGTTAGCTGAGAAGAGAGAAAGCAAGAACAATCTTCAGTGACTTGCTCGGCTGTTGAATTTGAGCCATAACCACTAGGCCCTGCCATTCCTGCTAAGTATCTCAGCGTGGCCTTCATGCCTTTGCTTGCTTTCGCTCTCTTACGACCACAAAGGAAAAGCATTTCAGAATTGAAACTCAACACCTTACAAGTTACAACGACATATATATATATATATATAGGTCGAAAGGTGAATTAACAAAAGTGACTGTATATATATATTGTGTTTAGAAAGAGTAAAGAATAAAGAGAGGATGAGTATGAATGGAGGAAGTAAACTCTTATAAATTACATTTGTTTTGCGCCGTTCATTCCATGAAGCTTTATTTTGGATGCCGTGATCAGCTAAATCATTGGTCGAAGCCACACTTATATCGGATGGTCCACAAACTTCCTGATTTGAACCTAACAAAACCGCTTTGATCATGTGTAGGACGATACGTGTTTTTAAGATTTCTATTTGCGTTAATTTAGCAGGATGCAACTTTTTGGAAATGTCTTCATTTCTAATAATTACCACTGTCCTTATTAAGTGGCTCGCATTTTCCTCTAGTGGCCTGTGACAATGGTTGATTTTTTTGTTCTCTTTGAGAAAGTTTTTTTTTTTTTTTTTAGTAGTGCATAATTATGCTTATGTACTAAGTAAAAAAAGGTGCATGATAAAAAAGCTTGATTAAGAGTGAAAATGAATCATTATATGAAGATTACTACTGAAGTTAAACCAAATTCTTACGTGCTAATGATGTTTGACAGTTGCCCCGTTCCTTTTGTTCTTTTGTTTCTGCTCACGGATTCTCTTTGCTTTCACCTTTAATTTTTTTTCCTTGGGGTTAATAATTTGTGTGTGGATCTAACTTGGTGCGATCTCTTGGGTTTAAAATTTTCTCCTTGTCATCTTCCACCTAAAAAGTTTAAGGTATTTTGGGTTCCATTAATGTACCTCATACTTGGTTAATGAATTAAGGGTTTAGCAACATTTTTGCACCATATATATACTTAAAACCTTATTCTTGGCTATAAATTTCTAACCCCAGATGGACGTGTCTTTGTGCGAGAAAAATGTATAGTGGGTTGTTGGTGACAGCAAAGTTGTCTCTGTATAAAGCTTATCATAATTCTGGCAATAATGGCCACCATAAATAAGGAAAAGTTTCCATTATTT